CCTTCACAGGGTGGGACCACCCCCCTCCAGCCATCCCTATCCAGGGTTGGGCACACTCACCGCAGCCAGCAAGGAAGAGGAGGTCACCAGAGAAGAGGCAAGGGGGACCACCGAAGGGCCCCGCATCCAGCACGTACACCATGTGGCCCACGGTGTGACCGGGCGTGGCGAGCGCCTCGAAGGTCAGGCAGCCCACACTCACCTTCTCCCTGTCTGCAAGTGGGCTGTGCCAGGCACAGGGGTGCACTGTCAGGGTGCCACCCCCAGCTCCAGCACCCTAAAACACCCAACTCCCCATGAAACCCTTCCGCAGTGCACTGGTGTCATGAGTGTACCAGGACTCTGCTCATGAAGGGGACAATGTGGTGCTTGGGGGATGGACCAGTGGGTGAGTGGAGAAGACAGTGGTGGTTGGGGGTGAAGAAACACCCTCCCCCGCAAATTTACAGGGGTGGTAGAGAGGATGCAGGACTTACTTGGTGAGCTCTGGGATGGCATCGAGGGCGCTGCCATACACCTTGCAGGAGCTGTGCCGCTGGTGGAGTGCTGCGTTCCCCCCGCTGTGGTCCCTGCAGACAAGGAAGCCAACGCCTCTAAATGTGTCTCCCCCACATCCCCCCCAATATGGTGTAGTCTTGAGGGGAGTCACCTCATGTGGGGCACCCCACATGAAACCCTCCCAGGGCCCCCCTCTCTTGCCCTTACCAGTGTTTGTGAGTGCAGAATATGGCCTCCAACATCACCCCTTCTTCTTCAATGGCAGCCTGGGAATGGGAAGGGCCAGGACAGAGAGATTTGGGAGAGGACACAGACCCCACCTACCAGTCTCCCCATAATGCCTGGATGAGCCCTGCCACCCTCCAACCTTGTTCTGTGCCGTAAGAGCTGCAGATTAGGGGCAGATTTGTCCCACCGTGCTCCCCCCCCAAAGAAAACCCCCAGAGACATGCCACCCCCTGAACCAGGGACACCCAAACACTGGATCAGGGAGGGGGCTGCAGGGGTCTCACCTGCACAGCCAGCGGGTCTGAGGGGTCGATGACGGCTGCCCGGCCCGAGGCAGTGTCAATGACTAGGTAGCTGTAGTTGTTGGAGAGCACAGGAATGGGCAGGATTTTCACGCCTGGGGAGATGGATGGACAGACGGACATCAGAGCATGATCCCCCTTGCCTGGGCAGGTCAAACTCCCCGCATCTTAAATCACTTAAACATGCTTCAGGTAGTTTGGTGATGGCAACCCCTCCCCACCCCAAAATACCAGTGTTGGGGGATGTGACAGGGCTGGGGGTAGGGGTG